AGAGAGCCCTCAGATTTCATCAAAAATATCTTAAATTGTGTTCCGAAGATGAACGAAGGTCTTACAGGTTTCGAACAACACGAGGGTGAGTAATTAATGACAGAATTTTCATTTTTGGTTGAACTAACCCTTTAATGAAATCTTTTTCTCCTTCACATGAAGCTCCTATTGAAATCTGATGCGATAAATGTGACCACACAGTTCTTGGCTGGGAAGTGAACCACATTTTATGACTTTTCAAGGGAAAAAAAGACAAACAATCCCCCTTAATAATGACACCCAAAAATACAGCTTGTCTCAGCAGAGTCAGACTGCAAGAGACCGCAAGAGTCAGTATTTAAACTCTTCTGTGATCCGTCAACTAAGTAAGGTTTTCAATTATCTGTCTCTGACTGCAGCAAAAAAAAAAAAAAAAAAGCCTGTTCAAAGTAATTTGACTAGAAAACAGCTCTTTCAACAGACACTGTTTGAACAAAGCAAAGTGCTAACAGTCAAATAAAATAGACGGATTCTATGTTCTTCCCTTCACACTATATTTAGTTCTGCACTGAAGTGCATTTGTGTAATCAAAGTGAATACCATGAGTATCAGTGGCAGCTGTTTACCACTGTAGCTAAGAGGAGAAAACTCAAAATGAACACATGTTTGCTTTCATTTTTCATTCCTGTTTTTGGCCTTTTGGTTTTACTACTAAAACCTAACATGCAGCCATTCTGTGCATGTTAAGATTTGGAAGCAAAACCAAAGGGACAGCAAAAGGAATGAAATCTGATTTTTATAAAGTAAACATAAGAATAACTTTTATTTTGTTAGTAATATTTTAAGAGGAACACTTACTGGACTGAAGTAACTTGGGTTTACTTGCTTATCCATATATCATTTAAAAACAAATGAAAATGTGAGTATCAAATATGACCCATAAGGCTTCTGAGAAGTGTTTATTTGTTCATTTCTCAATCATCATTGCATTGCATTGCACTATATGTTTTGTCCCCACAATAAAACCTACAGAGCTTTGATCATAAAACTAAATTAAATATCATCTTACTAAGACACATTATTGGAAGATATAGAGTGACAACTAATATTTATATGCATTTTATTGCTTTACTATTATTATTTACATTACAGTACATTTAAATCTTTTTGCATCTTACTTTTTGGCCATATAAATATCAGCAACTGTACCAAATTGTGTATTTTTGTGTATTCTTCAGTTTGGGCCTCTAAATAAAACTGGTTTCTTTTGTAACTTTTGAAAATAATTTAAAACATCTGTTAATAATTGAAACATAATTGAGAAAACATTCCTCAGGATGCTGTTCCCAGATCAGTGCATCCCGTTAGTGATCACATGACCTGTAAAACAATGGTTAACCATAATAAAAGGAGCAAGATGAACCTGACGGCAGTTTTCTCTGTTGCTTCTGGTACGTCTGTAGAGGGAAGCTCATCCGCCAGGATCTCTTCTATTCTGCGTGGATCGTCTGGAATGTCCCTCTGAAATTTGACCTTCTCCTTCTTGCCCGTCCCAGCAGTGAGCGTGTTCCAGAGTGCACTCTGAGACTTTGAGCCTGGAAACAAGATGAATCGGGCTCAAAGAAACATGTAAAGACTTTGATAAACAATAAACAACTCCCATTCACGCTCAGAAAAAAATGTGCAAAAATTGTACATTTCAGAGTACAACTGCTTGTCACTGGGGCAGTACCCTCGAAGGGATGCCCTTCTTTACCCCTATAGTGTTCGTAATAGTACCATAAGAGTTCATATTACTACCTTAAGAGTACACATTACTACTCTAAGGTACTAATATGCATCCTTTAGAGGTAATGAAGGTACAAAGGAGTCGCTTTGAGGGTACTGCCCCAGTGACAAGCTGTTGTACCCCAAAAGGTACAATCTTTGTACATTTTTCTCTGGCAGTATGCTGCTGTCTAAAAGCAACATATTATGTCTTTATGAACAACACATTATGTCTAAAAATGAAATTGTAATATTTTAAGTTCTTCCCATGCCTTTTTTTTTTTTCAGTGTTCTGTTTCAAAATAACAGTAATGTTATAGTAAACAGTAACCAGTAATCCAAAATTCTAAAACTAAAAAAGAACTTAAAGCCTCCACTAGGGATCTTAATGGCTTAGCTGTTGATTCATAGTAAATTATATTGATTTGCACCCACCAATGCTGTGCATATCATTATCATTATCATCATGAGCTCATGTATGTTGTCATTCAGGTGCAATCTGTGTGCCATCTCTGAGTTTCTTTGGATCAAGTATTAAGTCCAAATGAACTTTTGAATATCTTGATAGATGCTGCCATCTAGTGTCATGCCCATGTCATGTTATGCCCATGTAAAATGTTAAGCCTGTTAAAAGAACATCAGCCATCTGACTGGGTAATAGCAATGGCTAATATCAGAGTGAAAAACTAGTCCCAGACCAAGGCCTCTATGACAAATTCATTGCTTGATTCATTGTGGCAATAATGTAAAATGCTTAAGTTTTCACCATTTTAGTATCAATACTATTATAGTAGTATTTATTTTTAGTAGTATTTACATATATATTTGTTAATATTTTTTTAATTACACTCTAAAAAATGCTGGGTTATATTTAATTTTTGCTTTTTTTTTAAATATATATTTTTAAATATACCTTTTATCAAGTTTTACTTCAGTTGTTTTAATTAATAAACACCACAACACCATTTATATAACTCAAAATTAACACTTTATATTGCACTATTTATATTCATTTGAGTCTGGAATGAGTTCTGGACCAGACAGGACAATTTAGCTCACTTGATCTCACTTTCCAGAAAAAAAATATATTTACAAAATGATGAGTGTGAAGAACCATTTTATAGTCTAAAGAACATTTCTGTGCTACAAAGAACCTTTTGTTCAATGGAATGGTTCTTTGGATATTAAAGTTCTTCATGGAACCATACACCCTGCCAAAGAACCACAAAAAAAACTTTATTTTTACCATGACTTTTCCAGTCATTTGCAGAGGTGGACAGTAACGAAGTACATTTACTTGAGTACTGTACTTAAGTACACTTTTTGAGTATCTGTACTTTACTTGAGTATTATTTTCTCTGGAAACTTGCTACTTCAACTTCACTACATTTGAAAGACACATATCGTACTTTTTACTCCGCTACATTTATATCAAGGTCCCCAAGTAGAAAGTCATTATGTAGCAGTTTTTCCAGTGTGTGCCGTGCATTTTTAGATTCACTGAACCCTTTTTTTCTGCGAAAATCTGTCCCGCGATCTGCCAGGATTGCCAAGTGTTGCCTTACAGTATTTCTAAGCCTGCAGTTTTCCGCCTAGCTTTGAATGCATATTGGCTGACTTGTTTTACGAAAATCTGGCAACCTCGGGACCTTCCCTGCTAAACTAATATAAATGTCTGCGCTACTGCACAGCTAAAAACCCTTTTTTTCTGCGAAAATCTGTCCTGCGATCTGCCAGGATTGCCAAGTGTTGCCTTACAGTATTTCTAAGCCTGCAGTTTTCCACCTAGCTTTGAATGCATATTGGCTGACTTGTTTTACGAAAATCTGGCAACCTCGGGACCTTCCCTGCTAAACTAATATAAATGTCTGCGCTACTGCACAGCTAAAAGTGCTCTAAAAAGGCAAATAAGGCAATAAGGCAAAAAAGGCCCATATTTATAGTGTGGTGTGATCATCTGTGTGTTCACCACATTGATTTTAAAGAGACAACTGTATGTGATGATGCCTTACGTAGACCGAGCGCTACGATCAAAGATCATAGAAGATAAATGATCGGCATACAGTAAATAAAAATGATCTACACCTTGATCTACATGACAAAGAAAATGTATCGTTTTTATTCTGTGTGAATTCGCATGTGTATGTGTTAACTCATTAAAGCTCTTTGGAAAATTAAGCATGTTTTTCCAAAGTTTAACTATGGTATTTGCGGTAAAATCACAGTATCCACAAATTTACTATTCGCTCACTATAGTAACCATAATTATGCTATTTGTAGTAAAACTACAGTAACCACAAATTTAACATAGTTTCATTATAATAACTATAGTTTAATATTTGTAGTTAAACTATGACAATACAAATGGTAGGCTAATATATCCGTCAAAAATGGCTGCTATTACCATATATTAAAAAAACCTTACTACTCAGGCCTACTGGTAAATTGCTGCTAAAAACTGGTCAAGGAAGTATATTTTATTTAACATTATTTTATTGTCAAAACGCTGCACATAAATACATATATTTTTCTGCAAACAAATGATCAATAAGTAGGTTAAATGATCACACAGGTCAAAATGTTTTACTTCACTTTTTTACAACTTTGGAATCTAAACTGGGAATCAATAAGAATTGAAATCAATAAGCAGAATCAGAATCGGAATGGATAAAATGAAAACAATACCAAACCCTAGCCACATGTTGTGACGTTCACTGATTTATGAGCAT